TTTTTTTTAACTTATTTATTGAAAAATATTATAATCTGTCTCAAAGGACATTTATAATAGTGTTCAAAGATCACATTCACACTCTAGGAAAAGTACTTACTTAACTATTAAAAAAAATAAATTATATTTTGTATATATATATATATATATATATATATATATAATATATATATATATATATATATATATATATATATATATATATATATATATATATATAGGGAGTGGGGTAGCTCAGTGGTAGGGTACTGAGCTTCCAATGCCAATGGTCCCAGATTCGAATCCCGGCTCATGGGAGAAAATTTATTTATTCTGTTTCATTGGCCGTGGGATGACCCTGGGTCAGGGAGACGCTCCTGGGGCACACCCAGCCTCTGTAAAGTGGGTACCCTTAATTAAATAATTGGTTAAGGGGAAAAACCTGGCGATTGAGCGTGATCTCGGTCAAATCACCTCCTTGCACAACCGTTGACCTAGAAACAGTGCTTTCCCTAAATAGTACTGAACCCAAGACCCTTCATGGGTCGTAGTGGTACACTTTTTATATATATATATATATATATATATATACACTATATAACTATACACTATATAACTATATATATATATAACATTTATACACAGCAATTTTAGGGAACTCAATATATCTGTGCTCAATAAACATTAATAAGTGAAAATAATTATTTAATCTCACAATTCTGGCATTGGCCAGATTCTCTACTATTCAGTCTAAGATGTTTATTTTTATTTTTTTTATATTTTCTTCCCTCATTATAGTATTTTATTTTGTTCTTGTTTCGCTGTATATTATTTTGTTATTACCTTATTTATTTTTGATTCTGTTGATATGGTGTGAAAGTGCTCTCTGAACTGTAATATAAGTATCCTTAATTGAGACAGACTGTAATATTTATCAATCAATAAACAATTAATCTAAAAAAAAAAATTAAACTCACATTGTTTGAAAAAAACAAAATACAACTGCTCTGAGCTTAAATCTAGAATACTTGAATACCTAGAATACTTCATAGAATGTTTTTCACATGTTTGGAAAAAAAAAGAAAAAGAAATTCCCAGAACTTAATAAAACGAAAAAGAGCAGAGTAGCTTAACTTTTTCTGCCTGGAGGAATTGAATTGTTTACAACTTTTCAACGGCTCAAGTTTCGCAGTTCTCTATTGTGCATAAATACTTGAATGAGCGAAAATCCAGTCTGAGATTCTTTATACTATTATTAGTACTTTTTTAAAAACCTTTTCAGGTCAATTGCTTTATTTATTTATTTTTAATTGATCATAGTGGGGCAACAAAAAAATCTGTAAAAGTCAATAAAACAAGGGTTATGTTTGTGCCAGTGTAGATAGGATTGGAAAATTGAGGACAGCTAAAGCCACTTTGGGGCGACCGGTACACAAGTTAGTGCCTCTCTCTTCTGGAGAAACCTTTTATTGAAATAAATACTTTTTTTGTTTAAATTTAATGAGCAGTCATTTAATTTTAAGTCAATTATAATTTATTAGCCTAATTTCTCTCTTTCTTTGTTGTAAACCAAGCAATGTTACTCTCGTTTGTGTCTTGGCTGGTAATCACCAATCTCTGAGTTTGTTTTTTTATTTGCGAAATGAGATATTTCACGGTGAGTTATGTTTGTACCAAAAGTGGTTTGAATTTCCCGCGTTACGGCGAGTGGTGGGGGCAGATCGGAACATCTAAAAGATAACACTTAATCCTCAAGAACTGCTGGTTTCTCGACGCACTTCTCCTCTGGCAGTCACCCTGATTACATCTATGGCACCTGAGGGCCCTCAAGGTAACCAAAAGATGTAAGATGCTAAACAAAATTTTGAATGTTGACTTATTAAAACTCATTAGAGTAATTTTCCTTAATTAGAAAAGTTGCCTAGACAGGTTACAAATATCCCTATTTATAAACACAAGAGAACGAAGCATATAGGAAGCTCTAAAATAGTCCATTCTTTATTGTAAAGAGTATTGTTTTTTTTTTCTAGAAAAGAATATAAAATAATTTTACTGTGGGACAAAGTCCCTTTAGAATAATAAAAAAGAACAAAATTAGAATATTATATCTGGCCTAAATAAAAACAAACATAAAAAGTAAAAATAAAGAGAAATAAGTAAAAAAAAAAATGATAGTTAAACATAATACACTTGAAACCATACCAAGACACATAAAACTATGTACAGTGCTAAAACATAAAAATAAACTTTTAGAAAAAAAATACGTTACATTCTTCTTAGAAATAAACTCTGTTCTTCTCTACAAAGAAAAAGAAAAAAGAAAGTCGAATCTGGTAGTAAGAATTGTCTGAGTATTTAAGTGATGAATTAGATGTAAATACATCATTATGAATAATATGTAATTTTAAATTCTTTTCTCTTTTTTCTGGGAAGTTGTTTATTTATTTTTAGTTATTTGGCAATAATAACTTCCAATTGGTAACAATTGAGTATATTTCTATTATCAACGTTACATGTTAACAAGTTAGTTGACGTTTCGGGATATTTACTCCCATTTTCGGAACTGCAATGGGTGTCCAATCATTGGTCAAAAGCAGGATGTTGCTCTAGATCATACAATTTATAACATGAATTAAAAATTTGACGATGGGGCACATTATTATTAATTTTATGCCTTGCATCCACAAGATTATTGGGATTGCAGTTCCGAAGATGGGAATAAATATCCCGAAACGTCAACTAACTTGTTAACATGTAACGTTGATAATAGAAATATACTCAATTGTTACCAATTGGAAGTTATTATTGCCAAACAACTAAAAGTAATTTTACATAAAAAGTTGGCGGGGGCTATCTGACTGTTTTTGGGACATAAATTGGAATAGGAGGTTTTAAATGTAGATAGGGAGGGAAAATGCCGAATTTTTATGGGAAGGGAATTCCAGAAATTAACAGAAAGAGCAACAAAGGAATTTTGGAATGAGGAAGATCTGTGAGAAGGAATGTAAACTCCTAAAGGTCGAGATCTTGTGGAAAGAGAATGGACTGAGGACTTGAATTGGAGAAGGTTTTATTTATATAAGTGTTTATTTTTTAACAATACATTTAATACATTTTATTTGTAATATATTGTGAATATGTATTTAAAAGGGTACACAACCGCGCAATTGTAAATAATGTGATTATGAAAATATCATCTATAAAAAAAAATCTCTATTAAATGTATTATTTTTTCTAAACAGGAGTGCATTATGATTTATACAAATTTTATCCATTTTTTACTACTAGACAATCATTAGAGAACAGTTTCGTGCTCAAAATTAAAAAACAGTACATGGACATCTGCTTTGGTAACCTCTATAACTAAATAGATGTCAGGAAGATTACACGTTTTGATTTTTCTCATGCCATTTTCAAAATAATTTTTAATTCGTAGTTTCGGAGTTCTACGAATGGGTAGTTTCTCTTGAAGTTGTACATGTAATATTATCATTTTCGAATTTACTTGTATTTGTTAACTAATACAATTGTAAATTTCAATAAATATATAAAAATAATCCATAGTTAAGTAAGCTGTTGTGCCAAATAATCGGGTACATACTTAGAACAAAATAACCGTATCTGAACTTGCACTTTTTAAATTATAAAAAACAAGTTTCATATTTAGATAAACCTTGGTGGTCTTAGCGTCTTGGAGGTGGGGTGTGGCCTGAGGGTGTGACTGATATTCACTGTAGTGTGACGTATACGGATAAAATACTGAATAAGATATTGTCAAAGTGTCTCTCAGCTCTAAATTATTAACATGCATTTATTCAAGCTAATATGACAAATTAAACCTAAATATTTTTATTCAGAGATGACAGAGTGAGAAGGAAAATGGAAAGAAATTTCTTAAACGATAGTTTTGAAGCGGTAAGCAGTACTCAAAACTAAAACGTATAATATCGCTATGAACGTTATGAATTTGAAGTGTGAATGCTGTGGTGAAGAGGTATATCCACACAATCCACCCCACTTTTTAAATTCTAATTATCTTTCCAAATAAATATCAGTGAAATTATGAAGCTTATCGTTATAACCTAAATCTTCATCAACTAATTTAAAAAAAAATCAAGTTGCGATAATCAATCAAAGAAAGAAACTAAACCAATCGATTTGAATTTATTTACAGAAGCCTGAATCATAACATATCAGGAAACAATTATTTCGATAGGAATTATAATGAAACAATAATTAATTGAATATTTAAGGCCAGGAGAGAACTAATACGATTAAACTGTTGAGTAAAAACTGTATGAAACTAATAATAAATTATGTTTATTATACAATAGGAATGAAACAGAAAATATCGTGCATTTCCTTGGCATATTTTCTGCTATGGCGGAACTTAAGAGAAAAAAAATCGGAAAAGATATCTTGACAACTGTGAAAATAATTGCATATTTAAACGATGCAAATTGTGTAAGACTTTCCAATTATAAAGTAAAGTAGCCTGCTAACACAGATTTGCTTTATGCCAAGAATTCAATTATTAGTTGATTAATAATGTTAAGCCGGAAAAATTACTTATGTAACTATATTATAATATATATATATATATATATATATATATATATATATATATATATATATATATATATATATATATATATATATATATATTAAAAATTGTTTAAGTACTTATATTATAATAGGATTGTGCATTTATATTTATGATATTATGATTTGATATATTGTATTTATTAGCGACATTGTAGGTGTTAGTTTATATCATTGTATTGATAATACTTGTTTGCCAAGCCCAGCCTCCGGCTGACCGTTTCAAGAACCAAGCCGTAAATATTTTTATTGAGCTTAGATACTTTCGTTGTTTGCGTTATTGTATAAATACTTAATAAAGAATTCATTCATTCATTTGGTTAATTCAGTTAAGGTCATAAGCTTTGAAGCGAAATGATTAATCGGTTGTTTTTAAAATGATGACGGAAACATGTGATGTTTTACAAGCAGAGCGTTAAGTTAGCAACAAGCGAGAGGTTATTGGTAACCTCCCACGATGATACTTAAAGCGATACTATATTTTAGAATTATCTACGAAGTTGTAAGTGAAAGTCCCGACACCGGCTTGGACATTCACCTTGATTTACTGAGTAAGCTCAACTCCTACTTACTGTTGACCAGGGAGGAACCAGTGGACGAGTTCCCAGCAAACACCACACACAACCGCAAGATTTGGGATATCTATTACCTCTGTCTCCAGAAGCAGTATGAAGCCATAGGAAGTAAAGAGTAAGTATAGAACTCGATGTTCAATACTTGTTTACAATGTTGTGAGACATTATTTAGCTGATATGAAAACTCTGTTTGTATGAGTGTAAGTCAAACGAACCTACCTTATTTTGCATACGGGGCAAAAGGTACATATTCCATTGTTTAACTTTGATCGCTATGGTCACCACGACGAAAGCATACCTTAAAGAGTATACTTAATAGTACACTTTGAACGGGTAATTTTTCCGGCAATGCGATAATATGATATATACGATAAATATTGTGTGACTAACATAATGCAATAAATATTATTAAAAATATTTCAGCATATTGCCGCCAACAGAAATATCGTATCGCATTCTGTGCGTAGAAGCCTAAAAATTCCCAATCTCTGCATTTTATAAACGATTCTCATTTAAACTAAAATACATCTGCAAACATGTACTTTCCAAACTCCATAAACTTCAAACAGTTATTGTTTGTGCACAGATTAATATTTGTAAAGGTCGACGTCCTATTCCATAAATAAAAAAAAAAAAGTGGTGTGACAAGCACATCACACAACTTTCACTTACCAACAGACTATTTAATTTCAGTCTATTTAAACAGTTTAAATATTTCCTCAAATAGAGATTTAATTATTTAGTATTTAATTATTCATATCTATTATCAAGCCTCAAGTTATAAATAAAAAAATCATTAAAGTTATGGTAGGTTTTTTCAACCCGTAAACACAAATTTTTCTTTTATTAAGGCATTTTTTCTGCCACAGTACAATAAAGTAGTTTTTAAACAATGTCAGAAAGATGACTATATATTTTTTAATGGTTAAACTTAAAAATAATTTTGTATTTAATTTATTTTAGATGAAAGCAATTAGTTTCTGATAATTTCGGAGGAATATCAGCTGTTTTTTTTCGTGTTTTTTTTGGTTTACTTAATACTTAATTTTCCAACAATATACTTGTATTACTAATCCTACATCGAAAGCGAGTTTCAGAACGTGAAAAACGTTTTCTCGTTCTTTTTTTTTTTTCGTTTTAATAGTTATCAAATTACTTGTTTATATTTAACCATTTTTTGTCAACTGTAACAAATAGAAACGGTTAATCAATTAAAAAAAACAAAATCAAATTTACTTTAGAGGAAAAAAAAAAAAAAAAGGCCTAGCAGTGTAATTCAAATATATATATATGCTGATCTTCCAGTTTATATTTCAATGATAATGATAAAACTGACTATTATAAAATATAAAACATCATTTAACTGCACATTTATATTATATATTATATTTTTTATTAAAAACAAAAAAGAAATGTTGCTTAAATATTTCTTCTTCTGCGTTCTTCCTTATATGGACTACACCAGGAACTAAAATGAAAGGTTCGGTAGTCCTCCTCATGTCCACCAGGATTCCATATAGTTTCCTTTCCACTTCAGTTGGAGAGGACCATCATCACCCTCCTTTGCAGGGAGTAGACCATGCACGTTTACAGTATATGCTCCACATTCTGTACACTCTCACCGGCACTCGAAGAGGTGACTAGAGCCAATTTTGAACTTTGTGTCCAGTTCGTAAGATCAAGACCGCATTGTGAAGTGGATGACTTCTGAGCCAACGTTGGCTAATAATCGCTTTATTGATTGTTTTTACCTCGTCTAGGCTGATCTCACAATCAAATTGCGGACTCAAGGCCCCCTCCTTTGCCAGCTGCCCTTTCGTTTCCATAGATGCCACAGTGTCCAGGGGTCCATTCCAGGACAACTTTCTTGTGGAGGGACATCAAGTCTTCAAGATCTTTGGCATGTTTTATCACGCTCTTGCTCCACTTCGACCTGAGTGATTGTAATACTGAGGCTGCATCAGTAAGGAACACAATTTTTGAGTTTGTTTTAAATACTTAATATCAGTTTTTATAATTTCTTATTTTTGAGCTAGAGTGTTCAAATAAACACAGACTATTTAGGGATACTTGGTTATTTGAGGAGAGCTTGAAATGTTCGTTTTCGTCGAAAATTGGTTTATGAAATGTTTCACGATTAAGTGATAGGACAACAAATGGTACCTGAAAGTAAAGATACATCTCACACGATTAATTGAAAAATAAATATATTTTTAATAACTCATATCGCTGAATTATTCAGAGGTACTTTATTAGAATGAATTTCGTTATACTATACCAACAGCTAAGAGAACAATGAAAATTGAAACTGAAGAAAAGAAAAAAGAAACGGAGCTGCATTAAACCGAGCTACCGCAAACTGGATTAGGACCTTCACGGTAAAAATGTAAATTAAATTTACATATGAACAATTTTCTTAAAAATTCAGAACTCCGCATAAAATTAAATTAGGAGAGTGTTCTGTAATTCTTAGCACCTTCATCGCGTTAGCTATTTGCATTACTAATAATTCCCCGGGTTATTTTATTATCTTATCTGCAATGTTAATAAATTCGAATAATTGTTTTATAGTGTTTTCATTGATTTTGATGCTGCTTCGATAATGGATTTTAAGACAATTTTTTAGTATGGCATAAATTGTAGCCATTTGGATCGTTTAAAATATATTAATTTTACTAAATCCATATCACATACACATCAACAGAATAAACAGATAATAATTTGAATAACGTGTTTTAGCAGTATATATTCTGAACTAATTCGTTTTTAATTGATTGCATTCATGATAACAAAACAACCCATTGCTGGTACTCTTTGAACAGAATTTAAAGAAACGATCAAGCTTGTTCTGCAAACATCGACAAAATTGTGTAATATGTTTATCTTGCAAATAAAAAAAAAATATCTTCTTAATCAATATTTTTCACATATCACAGCAAAAGAAGCCCATTTCTAAAGTTTGATCCAGTCTTAGCTATCTTAGAGTACAGTGTCCTTCTTCTTTTATCCTCTTTTATTTAGAATAAATCTCTCTTGTCTATAGTCATCTTGAACACATTCTCCCGTGTCTTCTAAGATCTAAGACTTGGATCTCCTTTATTTCATTTTTACTATTTAATTACATTTTCACATGCGTTTTAATGAAACTATTAAAAAATAGGCAAACTACTTGAACATATTCGTTCTAGACAGAAAGATATGGATAGATAGACAATATACTTTGTTCTACGACATGGTCCCTTAAGAATAACAATTATGAACATAATCATATCTCGCCAAAAACCAATATTATTAAAAATTAAATAATATGTACTATTTCTCCAATGACAATATTTACAACAAAAACTCAAAGATTTTGAAAAAAACATAATTGACATGAAAAGAAAAACACAAATCTGAAAATATAAAAATATAGAATTGATTTTTAAAATTAAAACTGCTCGGTTATCTTATCCAGTGTATTGAATTGGTTTGTGTAACGAGATATTGCTTGTGATTAGCTTTGAAAAGTTGCTTAAGGTTGCTATAAATAACAATAAGTCAGTTTATTCTTATTCGAAAAGTGTCATATTAGTTGTATGAGGAGAGTGTATAATATGCATGCTCGATGGCAAAGTGATAAACTCAAGATAACATTATAAAATAATTACGAGTACGCATCCGGCAGGCAGGGAGGCTTTTAATCATGGCATTAATTCCTTGCTTTCTCACTTGCCTGGTAAAAACCTCGTACAGTAAAAATGGCGAGGAAGAGGATAAAAAACAAAACAAAATAAAGTATTAATCGTAAATTTAAGTTAATTTTTTTTCTCTATACTTCTATCAATACCTGTCATAGTATTGAGAATAAGCAGATGTGATCTCATCGTAAATAAAGTTGGCATTTAAGGCTTGAGGAAGGTTAATACCCAGCAGTACTTGGTCTACTTCCTGGTCGTGGTCTATTTCATAATTTAGGAAAGGAGATCTCTCATCCAGTTCCTCTTAAGTCGTCTCCTGATGGGCATGTCAGCTGTGGCCATGTCGTTGATAAGTCCGTTGTGATGTTCGTGTAGTTTAAGATGAAAGCGGTAGTAGAAAGTACGTATGTGTTGGTCGATAGTTGGTTGTTGTAAATCAGTATGTAAAGTTTTGTTGTTTACATACCAAAGAGCTGCTGTTATTAGTGTTAAAATTTTGGATTGAAATGATTGTAGTTTTTGTAAGTGCGTCTTTTTTTGCAAATCCGTAAATTTGTAAAGCGTATGTCCATATGGGTTTTAGTAGATAAGTGTACGTATTTAGTTTTTGTCTAATTTTCAATTTTGATTTGGAAAAAAGGGAGTGTAGTATTTTCAGTCCTTTGTTCAAAGTCTTCGTTTCATTTTGACATGTGGGCACCGGGTCATCCTTCTGTTGAATAATAGCCCGATATAACGTACTGTGTCAGTCAGAGGAATTTGGTTGTCGCCGATATAAACTGGTGGGCATGTGTCTCGTCGAAGTTACATGTTGTGATTTTTCATGAATTAATCTAATTTCCCAAAGTGAGTACCAATTTTGTAAATTCAGTGAGGCTATTCTGTGAAGGGCTAATTCACTGAGAGTTATGGTATTTTATTAAAATTGTTGTATCGTCAGCGTAAGTAGCAGTCAATGTTTCGGAGGTGGTAGGCATGTCATGTGTATAGATAATGTAAACTAAAGGAGCCAATATTGATCCTTGAGGTACCCCTGCTGACACTGGTCGAATTGAGGAAATTTCTAAACCCTGTCGGACAGAGAAAAACCTGTCGAAAAGGAAAGACTGAATAATTAGATAGTATGTGTGAGGTAGTATAGTTTTAAGTTGAAAGAGAAGTCCCTTAAGACTTTATCAAATGCCTGGGCAACATCCAGAAATACGCTGATTGCATATTGTTTTTGCTCTAGTGCTCCAGCAATGTAGTTGAATGAAATGTGCGAAAGCCGAATTGATGGACAGGAATTATTTTTTGGTCTCTTAGTATGTCAACCAATCCTTTGCACATTAACTTTTCGAAAACTTTAGAACATATTAGAAGGAGACTAATAGGTCGGTAGGATGAAGGATTGTAAATAAGTTAAAATTAAACCAATGTTTGAGCATCTGTAATTACTTATTTCATATACTAATGAAGATAACGGTTATAGGGTTCTCGTTCCAGAAGCTATATCGATCCTGGAAGGTGAGAACGTCCACATGGAGTGCCGGGTATGCCTCTTCCCCGGGGATGACCTCGGGGCGGCCGAGTGGTACTGGTACTTCATGCCGGTTCCAATAGACGAATGGACCGTCAAAGACCACAAGGGGAAGCTCTCGTTGTACGGAGTTCGATTGGAAGAAGCCGGACTCTACGAGTGCCGGATCGGCGCAACGAGGTCTAGGCCCTACTTCTTGCACGTGGCTCCAGACTCCGAGCCTGTGAGTGAAGTAAAGCCACGGTCGGCGAGAACTGGACCATACCCAGCCCCACCCAAGGTCACCGCGGGCATCATTCACATCTCAACACGTCAGTCAATTTTCAATATTGTACTATGTTCTAGAATGAATAGAATAGCTAAAGCTTAAACCTTATAAATAACAAATCATTAAGACCATTACAATTACAAAAAGTCTATTAATTATATCGACGGTAGGCAATAAAAATCTGGTTTCTTAAACCACATAACTTCAGTCTCTAGCTAACAGAATGACTAACTCAAATTTCAAAATTTTTAAGTAGAGTCATTTTAGTGATATTTCTAGTTGGAAAAGTTATATCTATTCATACAGTGCGTTTGTAGATTCCAGAGTATGTGATTGCAGTGTTGAAATATAGAACTGTGAATAAATATATGAATTTTGCCACTAGAAACATAACTAAAATTAGTAATAAAGAAAGTTGAAATTGGAGTCATTGTGTCATCCGAAAAACTAATATATACCTAGAGAGATTTGAAAGTAATTTAACCTATAAATGATTATGAATTGTAGGACTATTAGTTATTAAATTGTTATTTTCAATTGTAAAGTTTACTAAAATGAAATTATGGGATTTTCATTGGTTGCCAAGGATAGATCAAAATTTGTCACACTAATTAAGTAAGTAAGTGGATAATGTAGGGATTTCACAAAGGGAAAATTCGTCAAATGATTCACTAATTTAATTCTCTAAAAGGTTATTTGATGATTTTTCGGAATAAACGGTCAATAGATACCTAATTATTTAAATATAATATCACATCTAGAGTTATTAAACTGCAGAAAATGCATTTGAGGTTATAAATATATCCATGAAACATTTTTATATTTCACTTCTTCTGTCACACAAATACAATTAAATAATAATTTAAAAAATGGGATTGGCTTCATTTGGTGGATTTTAAATTATTTTTGTAAAATTTAGAAAAAAAATTAATAAAAAAAAGTTTATATTTAGTAGTAAATTTTCATTTAATTTCATTGGAAAAATGTGATTTACGTTAAATAATGTTAGTTTTCTAAAATTATTATTTATATTTTTATCGTCACTCTCCTTAACATTCTACAACTTTCTTTATTTTATACTATTTTATTTTCCTAAAATTAACCGCTTTCCAAAGATATATTATGCCTTATGATACGATACCTTATGACTGTTATTTCCGGAGATTCATTTTCAACCTGGATAAATATTTTATTTTTTTCTCCAGTTTCCAATTATGATATTTTTTCAATCTTCATGTTTAGTTTTTATTCACCCTTCATAGCCCTTTCTTATAGTTACTGTCGGTAAAAGAGAATTATTTTTTTTAATTAATCGATATTAAAGGGGCTTTAGAGGCGTATATGAATATTGGGCATTTAAGCCCTGTCAAAGGACATCAATGGGGATAAGACCTAAATGATATTAAAGAATATTACATATATAGCTAAGTGAAAATAAAAACATATGGTTCAAAAAATTATTTATTAACAAGAAGGTGATCATAGTAAAAATAATGAATATCTTGGCTCTATTATACTTTAAGCACACGAGTGACGCCATATTTTCCCCTTTTCGCCTCTCTAACACGGTGTCGCGTTAAGACAAAATTTTGAATAATAGCTCAACAAAGCGGATGAAGTGCCTAACATTTGCCTTCCTTACATTATGCAGGTCCAAATTTTAGTTTTTGATGTATTTTAATCCATATCTTCAATAAATCCGTTATTTGTTGGTTTTCGACAGTACTTTTCCCTTTCTGTCTCACTAATACGGTGTCACGTTAAGACAAAATTATGAATTATGGCTCATTACTAAGAGAATAAAATGCTGCGCATTTCCTTTGCTTACAGTATGCACGTTAAACTTTTAGTTTTTGAGCTATTTTAATCCAAATCCAATAAAACTCGTTATAAGTAGATTTTCAACAACAATTTTCCCTTTTTGGCTCTCTAACACAGTGTCACGTTAAGGCTATTTTGAATAATAGCCACTACAAAGAGAATGACAGTATGTGGGTTCGACTTTTAGTGTCTGAGATATTTTAATCCATATGTTCAATAAAAACTCTTTGAGTTGGTTTTCGACAACAATTTTACCTTTTCGCCTCTTTAACAGGGCGTCGCCTTAAGATGCAATTTCGATTAATAGCTTATTACAAAGAACACTGAACATTTATCTCGCTTAGAGTATTAAGGTCAGATTGTAGTTCCTGAGATATTTTAATCTATATGTTCTACCAAACTCGGTCTATTTTTCCCTTTTTGCCTCTCTAACACGGCGTCATGTTAAGATACTATTTTGAGTAACAGCTCATTACACAAAAGATATAATTTTGAACGATTCTCTTGCTTAAACTATGCAGATCGAATTTTTAGTTTCTGATGTATTGTAATCCAAATGCAAAAACGCTTTAAACATTAACTGGTGGGCTTAAAGTAGAAAAGAGCCATATCTTTTGTAATTGAGGTAAATGGATCAGTCGCTCTAATTTTTCGGTGTCACGTAAATTCTATTAAATAAGCACCTAACAAAGTTCGGTGGGTTTTAGGAATTTCGTTATTTATTTTTTATATATATCTCCGAATACCCACTGCTCTTTTACCATTCTACCAACATTACGTTTTTTTTTTTCAAGAATAAACTTTCGTCAATTTCTACAATAAATCCTTTTCCGCCTATCATCGTGCTTTCCATCATACACTTCCAGACGCATCCGTCTCTCATGTGATTGTTGTAGTCAACAAGCACTACAATGATCCATGATCAGTTCCCGATCATAAAAATCAATTGACGTGAGATCATCCTTGTTTTTTTTATAGTTTCCAAAACATTTTTTTACTGATGGGGCAATAATAATAAAATACCAATTTTGCTAATGAATCACTACAGGACGAGAAATTGAGTTCGTCAGTCAGAATACTCAAGCATTTAAAACTCTTTCTATTTTGATTTTTTTAGTTGAATTAAAATTTATTTTATTAGTTTTATGAGACTTTTTTTTTTCTTTTAAACGCAAAAAAAAGAACAAGAACAATGTCTGAAATACTCTAAAACCAATTTTTCTAGCTAAAATAACGACAGAGAAAGAAACGTAACATAGATGTAGAGCAGAGATAGAACATCCCACATCTACAATCTGCAAACCTAATAGAAACAATACATCACTCCTGCTTCTAATCTACATTTGTGTGTACTATTTTCCTTTCTTGAGGAATTGATAAAACCTTGACCATTTATAACTCGACTATGGCGAAGCTTCGCATAAGATTATGTGGTTGGATTGAATATATGTAATGGTTTTTTTAACGAACGGCTCCAATGAGATAACGTTAAAATAATTAAGGCTAAAAACACTGATCCATGATTGAATAATATGTGTTTGATCAATTTTTTAAAATATATTTAACGATTTTTTGAGGGATCCATCATAAAATGAATCAAAAAAGGATCACCATTTTTATGGTTTCTTATCCTAAAATTTTCATTGTTTTTTTAATTGGTATTTTTTTTTTTTTTGAGAAGGTCTTCATTTAATAAGAATACATCTTTTTTTTTTTAATTTGTATCAGCCTCTACCCTAGAGGATCATTGGCAGTGATTCTTAATTTTTATATTCTGTTGTAATATTTCGTTTCAATTTTTTTTTTTTTTTTTTTGCTTTTTTCATATAGGGGACACTTTATTAATAAGTGTTTATTACTTATACAACTTAAGTGTTATGTCACACTTTTGGCAGTTGGGCGCTTCTAAATATCTGAGAAGGTACCCATTTGTAAAAAGACAGTTTTTGGAACTTGTGGCCCATTTGTTGCATTCGGTTTTTATATCTGATAATTTGGCTCAGTTTACTTTCCATTGGTCTCCCAAATTTTCTAGTAGCTTTTCTTTTGTATCGTGTATCCAATCTTCTTATTGTTACTATAATACATCTTATTGTTTACTTTCTGTGAGACAATGAGAATATCATATCGATTCGGATATACAAATGTCTATGTAAAACTCAATTTAGTTAAAGAAAATATTAGTGCGACAAAAAAAAAAAAAAAATTACAGTGCAATTAGAAGACAATCATAAATTCTTATTACAAAAAAAAAAAACTTCACCCGACTTGTAGCAGTTTATGTTCCTTAAGAGGAAGTAAACCATGATCGCAAATCGCTTTTCAATAAAACACGATTTTGTATTAAATTGTATTTAACTGTTACCGATAGGGTTCCTTATTGTGTACGTTCTGGCCTATTTAGATACTAAAACCAATTAATATTTTCCAATTATCTGCTAATTATGTGCTTTAATCATCCTTCATGACCAAAATGGTTTTTTTTTTTTTTTTTTAGTAGTACTTTTTATTGTTTACATTAATTTCAAATAAATACGTTCAATGTTGTCAATTTTATTTGGTATCAGTGAAAATACACGTACCTATTTATTTCTTAGTTTGAAAATGAGGTTGTAACTACGTGACAATAGCCATTAACCCAGTATGTAAACAGTAATAAAAAAACTATATGTTTTTATTGAAAAGTGATTTTCGGTAGCGAATAAAAAAGACGCACACTTTAATTTATATACTCATACAATTCGGACCTGGGATCGAAAATTGGCACCAATGCTTCACATTGGTTAACTTAAATTATCATTGAAATAAAACTTCCTCTAAACTTATCGCTGTTCGGAAGAAGACTGTCACATCCAAAAAAACTCTGATTTTTGGATTGATAGTATATTATTTTTAAATTAACTGTTTATCAGGGCATGTCTGTTACATCTTTATCTACGACAACTAACAATAGAAAGCTCTTTAGTCAATAGTCACAATTTACCATTGGCAAGGGAAGGTAATGCAACAGTGTCACATTTCAGTTTGAGTTGGTTTGTTGTCCAATGAACATCTACTTTTTTGTGACTGCCAAAAATTAAAAAAAAACAATTAGTGTTGCCCAAATTCGAGACCAAGATGAGTCTTATATTGTATTGTATCAAGACGAGTATATTGGTTATACCAATTCTTTACATATAGTAACGAAAATT